ACTTCATCCGGAGCTCAAATTGCACAGGCCTCATGTTTTATAATGAAACTGTACAGCAGTTTTATTATAAAGATATACTCCCAGATAGCAAAGTGTGTCAGCAAAATTGCACAAATCTGTGATTGCTTATGATGCTGGTATAACTTGTCGTAGATTTGTCTTCAACGATTTCGAATATACCGACATTGTAGCAACATGCAAACAACAATATGTATAGGTATTGCCAGCAGTTTAACAACAAGATAGCTAGTTAATGTTATTTTGCATTGTTGGCAATATGACAGCATTGTATGATATGCTGCATATTATTATGGTAATATGATGACAATAGTACGAATTTTGATGACGATTTTAAAATTGTCGACAAATTGCTGGCAAGTTACTACTCAATTTTATCATATCGTGAAGACATCAAGTTGCCAACAAATAAGGACTCAGTTGCTATGATTCTGATAGCAACACATATTTAAAAATGCACTTAGCAAGCAACATGCCAACAACAAGACAGACACGTTGCTATCTGAGCTATTGTAAAAATTTTGTTAAAGCAAAAAGAGAAAGAAACGATATGCAGTCGTAAATAAAAATAAATAAAATAAGAAAACTGAAAATATGATATGTTAGCGTTAATTAATATGTATATAATCAAATGAATTACAGGAATTTTTCCGTTGTACTTTTCCGCACGTCAACATTACTCGGTGAAAGTATGTGGTGCAGAATCATGAATACTTCAATATTACAGGAATTTTCATAGATGTTATTTCTTTCCCTAATTCATTTATCCGGTTAAAATACTTGTGTGAATGAGTAAAAAAAATACATTTATTTTATTTTTTTTTTATAATTATTCTCAGAGACAAATATTGAACATATTCGTTCGCTCTTACTATACAAATTCTTTAAATTTTTCATCGAGTTTCCAGATAAAATTTTCAAATTCATTAAATATAATTTTAATTTCATCAATTTGTATAATAAAAGTTTGGCATTGCTATCGATCTGTCTCTTATCTTAAGTGTGAGCACTGAAAGTATAAACTTCGGAAAATTCCACTTTAGATAATCAACATTATCGCAATGTTGAAATAATTCAAAATAAAATTTCCGAATTCTTAAACAACTAATTTTTTTTTACATAAAATAAAAGATCACAAAAAATTATTATTAATTATATAATATAAAAAAATTTTTAAATATAATCTTACATAAAATTTTACAATACCGATCCTAATAAAAAAGTTAGAGCTATCAAAATAATTTTTTAAAAACTTATTATCTATGACCGTCAACTAATTGACTATGGCTAAGTCATAAATAATCGTATACTAAATGAACTTGAATACTTTCTTTACCCTAGAGAAGTTCCAGAATGAGAAGTCATTTAATTTCGCAAATGTAAACATGATTATCGATCAATTACTTCACTCTTAGTTACTATAATCGTAATGTCTATTCTGCAAGATAACGATGTGGCGAATATCTATGATAGCACTTTCATACACGGTTATATCTTGCAAGACTTGATTAGCATATATATGGTGGGGAGACTGATTACAAATATATATATCTCTCTGTGGACACCTTCAAGCTATCTGAGTGTTAAATTCCACTCGTTACACGACTCGTAGAGACGCTTTCCCTGCAGACATTTGATCGGTCCACACACAACAATGTCAACTAAAAATGAAAAAATTGGGATTATTGGAAGGTAATATAATTAAAAAACTTTAATTTAGATTGTAATTCAAATTATTTAAAACTGCAAGTTGTAATAATTATGCAGTATACATTCATCGTTTAATGTGGTTTTCCAACAATTGCTAATTGATTATTCCTTATAAATCGATATCAAATAACAATAATTGATTATGAGCAATTACTATTTTTTAACAGAGTATATCGTTACTCTGTTATGTAAGTTTAGTATATTGGATTGGTTATATTATTTAAAAAATCTTTCCCTCATAATTTTAATCCTTTTTTAAAATTATTTACAAATTGTTATGCTAAAGTTTTATTAAAAGTGCGTTTTAAGTTGTCATTTTAACGATTGAAGCTGTTGCTGCACAAATTACTATTTATGAAAATAATTATTTTTTACTATTATTTTTTATAATTTTTATTTTTTTAACTTTCATAAATAAGTTTAAACTTACTTATAGAACATTATAAATGATATAAAGGCAGATAAAGTTTTAATTTGTAAAACTGACCTTCATAGTTGATTCTACATCAGCGGAAACTGTTAGTTTAGAAAGGAAAATTATATTTTTATACTAATCGCGATGTACAGTGAGTCACATTGTAAAATAAGCAAGAAAAACATTCAACAATCAAAGAGCTGTCACATTCACAATTTAAAGAGTGAATGTAAATGAATTAAATTTTGTTCTCAATATTTTATTATATTACTATTATTAATCGATCATCAATTTTTTTAAGCCATCAAATTATAATTTTTTATGAGAACGTTGAAGAAAAATTCTTAATTATATTTTTTTGTAACTTACACTACGTCCGAGATAAGATAATACGTGATAAACAACATTTCTTACAGTTATATCTAACGGAATGAAACAAACATCATAACACGCGAGAATAGACTTAAAATTAAATGTTTATCATAACATGCGAGATTACATTGCAGATTTAAAATTAAATATCGTAAGTCTCATATCTTTTCACAAAATTATTTTACCTTTATCATAATATTTATTATAGCGGATTAATCGGACGTAGCTGGGCGATGCTCTTCGCCAGCGTAGGATATCAGGTGACTATTTACGATATTGTTCAGGATCAAATTGAGAATGCATTGGAGGATATCCATCAGCAATTGAATCGTCTCGAAACCAGCGGCCTTCTCCGTGGTACACTGACAGCGGATCAGCAATTTAAATTGATAAAGGGTTTGTCTATCTCTTCTATTTTAATCTACAACAATTATTCTTATCCCTTAATCCAAAAATGATTGTGTAAAATGTAATGACTTCAATAGTTACATGTTGAAAGATTCAAAATAGTATCGATTTTTTTTATCGTTGATATTATAAGATAGCTTTCCTGATGATCTTTCTAATTCCATTTGTCACGGAATTTAATAAAGGATTCATTGTAGGATCATCGGATTTGGCGGCGACTGTGAAGGGAGCAAAACTGATCCAAGAATGCGTGCCAGAAAATCTCTCCTTGAAGACGAAAGTTTACAACGATCTTGATAAAATTGTAGATAACAAAGTGATTCTATCATCTTCAGCATCCACGTTCCGTCCATCTCTTTTTAGCGAAAAGCTGAAACACCGTGAACAAATTATCGTCTCCCACCCTGTACGTACTCTCAAACTATTTATAATATAAAATGTAATGTAGATTTTTTTTCCATTAAATCTTTGTGTTGTACAAATCCAATTAGCAAATTAATGTTTATTTATAAGAATTAATATTTATATTACATTATATAAAAAAAAAACAAGTTTATAAAATTATAAGATTTATAAGATTATATATTAAGTTTATAATTATAGAGATTTAACTTCTGATGCAGATAACAAATATTGTTTTTTTCTTGAATTTAATCTTACTGACATGGCACAGTTTTCTAAATAACTCAAGAATTAACAAGATTCAACAAAAAAGTATTGGTTATTATTTACATCATTTATTACATTATTTAGTAATCATTATAGTGTCATAAATACAGGTAAATCCTCCTTATTACGTGCCACTCGTTGAAGTTGTGCCAGCTCCATGGACGCGTTCTGATATTTCTGAGAAGACAAAGGCTATCATGACAGAAATCGGTCAGAAACCAGTTGTTTTGAACAAGGAGATCGATGGTTTTGCGCTCAACAGAATACAGTACGTAATGGGATGTGTTTTGCTTGCACAAAACTATTTTTTAAATTATCATTATCGTTTGACTATTTCTTGACACTTCACATATAAGAATCATATCAATAGATATGCACTCTTAAATGAAGCCTGGAGATTAGTGGCTGATGGAGTATTAAGTGTAAAAGACATTGATGCAGTGATGAGCGAAGGTCTCGGAATGCGTTACGCTTTCATTGGTATGTTCGAGGCCGCGCATTTGAATGCCGAAGGTGAGCCAGTCATTAAGAATTATTTGTATAATAATTAAACGAAGTTTTGCCATGGGAACGCAATTCACGTTACAACGTATCTTATAGGAATGAAAAAATATTGTGAATCATACAGCAAATCGATTTATGATACGAGCATGACTTTCGGACCGACCCCCAAATTCGTCGGTGAGATGGCGGAGAAGATAAGCAACGAATTGAACGAGATGTGTCCGCTCGACAAATTGCAGGAGCGACGAGCATGGCGAGACACCGCTTTGACGAAGTTGTCTATACTCAAGAAAGAGTTGGAACAGACGAAACAATAAAAATTTATATATTGTACACATCCAATTGATGTGCTAACACTAAAATCGTTCATAAAACAGACATGTCTAATTATATATAGGCAGGGTTGGACACGTTACTTCATAAAAATAACGCGTTATCATTACTTAGGAAAGTAATGATTTGTTACTTTTTCATAATATTAAAGATATTAGATTAAAAATTTATATTACTTAATAATCAATATTAATCAATATTAATTATAAAAATCAATATTAAACTTCAAATTCTAAATTCTCTCCAAGCTTTTATTTTTATATTAAACTCTTCTATATTTAAATCTTTAATAATTTTTTATATCAATATTTTTATATTTTAATTCGACTGAATTCGTTACTGTTACAGACAGAAAAAAGTAAGCTTACTGTACAATAAATATATAGATATATATCTGTTTTATAAACGGTAATCTTATTTTTATCATATTAAATGTAAAAGATATATATTTTTTTCGGTTGTAAAAATTAAATATGAGTTGTATATATATTAATAATCGAGATATATGTATTATTTGAAATTTACCAATCTTAAAATTATTCCTTTTAATTATATAATTTAAAAACATAAATCAAAATGAAATATTTTATTTTATTTATATAGCTACAGACTTTAACGTTTTCCTCCAACACGAGGTGCGGCTTTTTGCGTTACTTTAGCAACTTTCTGTTTTGCTACTTGTTTCGCTTTCGGAGGAGCAACAGCCTTCTTCGTCGCCTTTGCAGCTCTCTTTTGTTCTTTTGCAGCCCTGAGAAAAAGAAAACAAATGAATCAATTAAACGATATTATTATAACATTAGATAATATTACACCAATGTAATAATATTGTATGAATCCGCAAAAGCCAGACAATGTAATTGCAAAATACAGTTCTGGGTGAAGCAATCCAGTTTTATTCTAAGACGTTCTGAAATTTGACGAAGCAAAAGAGGCCTCGTCAGAGGAACAGATGTCTATTGTACGTAGTGCATCTGCATACAAAATACAGGGTGTCCCAGATCTCGCATGACACTCATTAATAACAGATTTTTTATGTTTGTATCAATTCTATCTTCTTCTCTTTTTCTAAACTTCTTCTAAACTCTTTATTACTATACAATATGTCATGCCTGAGCATGCAAATTTTAGATACATCAATTAATTAACTTTAAACTCTTATCATTTAAAAACTGCAGCCTTGACTTTAGTATTTTTGTCCCGAAATGGGACAGAAATCTACTATTGATAGATGTCATATAAAAAACGTCCTATATATTTACTATTTAATATAATAGGTCATTCACGTTACTTAAAATTCCTAAAAATATTACACTCAAAAAGAAGTAAATATTCAGATAAATATTTAGATGTTAAAAGGAAAGAAAGCAAAGATGTTAAATGCAAAAAGAACAATGCAAACAAACTTAAATATATATATATATAAATATATATATATATTCAAATGTTGGAGAGAGAGAGAGAGAGAGAGAGAGAGAGAGAGAAAGCAAAGATGTCAAATAAAAAGTATAAATGTGAACAGACTTACTGTCATTTCTAAATTATCTTAAAACAATTAATTTCTTAACAAATAAATAGAAATAATCAAAAGAATACATACTTGATTGCCTGTTCTCGTTGGGCCCTACGAATCTCTGGCTTCATGTTACGTTTAGCCAAGATATCTGTGAGAGAAGCACCTACAATTGCACGCTGAAACTTCTGTGCACGCCTCGTCCTCTTCTTGGTTTGCTCCTCTTCTTGACCCTTTTTGTGTTTACGTCTGAAAGACAAATCACAATTCCATTAATAACAGTCAAAGCTCGAGAAATCATACACCGGTTTGACGTATATCTTTACCTGTATAAAACAGTCCATGTCACTTTCCTAGGATTTCGCCTCATCAAATGTGCGGACTCGCATTTCGAGTTGAGGAAGGTGAAAGTCTGAGAAAATGAGACTAAAATAGGTTACGCCAACACGTGCAATAACAGATGATGGAGTAAATACAGGACGCGTT